CGCACGCACGCACGCACGCACGCACGCACGCACGCACGCACGCACGCACGCACACGCACACACACCGACGCACGCACCGCACGCACGCACGCACGCACGCACGCACGCACGCACGCACGCACGCACGCACGCACGCACGCACGCACGCACGCACGCACGCACGCACGCACGCACGCACGCACGCACGCACGCACGCACGCACGCACGCACGCACGCACGCACGCGCACGCACGCACGCACGCACGCACGCACGCACGCACGCACGCACGCACGCACGCACGCACGCACGCACGCACGCACGCACGCACGCACGCACGCACGCACGCACGCACGCACGCACGCACGCACGCACGCACGCACGCACGCACACGCACGCACGCACGCACGCACGCACGCACGCACGCACGCACGCACGCACGCACGCACGCACGCACGCACGCACGCACGCACGCACGCACGCACGCACGCACGCACGCACGCACGCACGCACGCACGCACGCACGCACGCACGCACGCACGCACGCACGCACGCACGCACGCACGCACGCACGCCCGCACGCACGCACGCACGCACGCACGCACGCACGCACGCACGCACGCACGCACGCACGCACGCACGCACGCACGCACGCACGCACGCACGCACGCACGCACGCACGCACGCACGCACGCACGCACGCACGCACGCACGCACGCACGCACGCACGCACGCACGCACGCACGCACGCACGCACGCACGCACGCACGCACGCACGCACGCACGCACGCACGCACGCACGCACGCACGCACGCACGCACGCACGCACGCACGCACGCACACCAAAAATCAACCAAACAAGCAATCATTTGAACAAGCAGGCAAGCCAGCATGCAGGCACGCAAGCAAGCAAGCAAGCGAGCGAGCAAGCAAGCAAGCGCACTCCAGCACAGCACACATGTTCACGCCCAAAAACACCAACAAACAAACAAACAAACAAACAAACAAACAAACACACACACACACACACACACACACATACACACACACACACACACACACACGCACAAGCAAACAAACCAAACCAACCAACCAAACAAACAAACAAACAAACAAACAATTATAGAAAGAAACAATCAAACAAACAACCAAACAAATAAAACAGACACACAAGCGAGCAAGCAAGCAATGCAAGCAAGCACTCCAGCGCAGCATACATGTTCGCATCCAAAAACACAAACAAAAACAATCAAACAAACAAACAAACAAACAAACACACAAAGACACAAACAAACAAGCAAACACACGAGCAAACAGTCCAAACCAACCATCCAACAGACAAACAAATAAAGAAAGAAAGAAACAAACAAACAAACAAGGAAGGAAGGAAGCAAACAAACAAACAATCAAACAAACAAGCAAACAAACAAGCAAGCAACCAAACAAACAAACACACAACCAAACAAACGGACAAACACACGAGCAAACAGTCCCAACCAACCAACCAACCAACCAACCAACAAACAAATAAACAAACAAACAAAAAAACAAAGAAGCAAACGAACAAACAATCAAACAAACAAACAATCAAACAAGCAAACAAACAAGCAAGCAATCAAGCAATGAAACAAACACACAACCAACCAAACAAGCGGACAAACACACGGCAAACAGTCCAAACCAAAACAAACAAACAAACAATCACAAGCAAGCACGCACGCACGCAAGCACGCAAGCACACGCACACACTCTCTCACGCCCCCGACATTGCGCGCAGGCGTGATGATCTGATGGGCGTGGCCAGGGATCAAAGACCGGGAACTTCGGACCCAAAGACTAGGATTCGGGAAGAACGATAGGCCCTGTCCACGGTCCAACCAACACCCCGTCGAAGCCGTCACGTTGAGGTCTCATGTGGGGAGGAGTTGGGGATGGGATGAAAGCTGACGCTTGCTAATTGGCAGTAGCAACTGGTGTGGACTGCCTGCCTGATACTTCAGCCCAAATTTCTTAGTTGGAAGGGGAAGCAATCTTCGCTGCTCTTGCAGGGTGATTGAGTCTTGCTGCTCTGTGTCGAGCCCATGTTTAGAGGCCATTGCGTTTGCTACATGACCCCATATTCACCGGGCCGGTTCGGCTCAACAAGTTCCGTTGGCTCGCCCGGCTCGGTGCCAGCCATCGGTTCCGATGGCAGGCACGGAGTATGGAGAAATTTGCCATGGGAGGGGGGCTATGTAGAAGTAGCACATCGGGCTCAACAATTAATGTTGGACCTGCTTTGAATGTGAACCCCCCCTCAACAGTGGAACCAGTCTTCTGGACCCTCTTTAGGGAAGATTGTGGGGGTCTGGGGGGGCCGTACTTGCTTTAGTAGTGCAAATTCTACTTTAGTATTCCCAAGGCCGACTCTCAAATTCCCAATGCTGACATAAGTGTTGCCAATGTTGCCAAGGCTGACACTCAGATTCCTAGTACTTACATCACTATTGCAAATTCTACTTTAGTATTGCCAAGGCTGACTCTTAGATTGCTAGTACTTGCTGTAGCATTGCCCCTTCTACTTTAGTATTGCCAACGCTGAATCTCATATTCCCAGTACTTACTTTCGTATTGCCAATTTTTCCAGCAACCCCCAAAAAGGTTGGACACTAAGGAGGACCCCAAAACAGTCACATTAAAGAGGATCAGGGCCTCTTGCTTTTGTGTAAAGAAGTTATCTTGGGTTTGATGGTTTGGGAACCATTTGAAAAAATCCTAATGTGTGCCTGGATTTGTTTGCCAGACCTCTTTTGCTAGTTGTTTTTGCTCCGCATGTTTCCTGGCAGTTCTTGTTTGGATGTTTTTGTTGGGGGAAGAACTTGCCACAATAGAGGACCCCAAAACAACCCAACTATCCTGAATGAGGAAAAAAACTTTACACAATACAGGCTACTGCCATTCAAGCGTGTCCAACATTACAGGCTTATGTTACCTGGGATCATTACTTTCCAAGTACCCCAAGCAAATATATGAGGGATGCCTTTGACCCTTTCCAGAGTGAACCGGGATCACCACGTCTCATCTGGATAGAGATCTGTCCCTTGCATTCGTGACATGGTTCTGCGGGTGTTGAGGTCTGTCAGCGCAAACATGGCTTGGCGAATTTGGTTTTCCAGACAGGCGTATTTCCAGAAACCCTGAAAGACAATATTTCTCTCAAAATTCTGTCAGAACTTCGGGAGGGAGTAGCTGCCTCTACCAAGAACAAGCGCGATTCAAGCAGAGACTTACGTCAAGAGCTCAATTTCGTGTAAGGGGTGACTTCGTTTACTCCCGAAAGCATTGCGAAAGGTTCTTCCAGTAAAACCGCCAACTTGCACCAGAAAGCTCGCACATTCAAACTCACGAGTCGGCACGAAAGTAAAACTGGTCTCTTAAGGCGGCGCGGTTGCACCGAACCTACTGTGCGAAAATAACACCTTCTGCCGGGATTGGCGTGGTCGATGTGCAAAACCTGAGAACGGTTTACGATTTCGGTGGTGCCAGCGTAACTGTGTGGCCGAAGTGCAAAAACTGAGGACTGCTTGCGATTTCTGAGCTTCGGCAGGTACATCACAACTAGTAACTAGTATTAAAATTTTACGCGGAGTACACTTTCAGAAAGGCGCCGGCTGGAAGATCGCAGTTTTTAGATACGAAAGTGGTGCGCGAAGTACACTTTCAGAAGATCGCAGCGTGAGGCTACAAAAGTATTACACGAAGTATACTTTCGCAGGCAGGTCCGGATCGACAGTTGCCATCACGTCGACCAATTTCTGTGTTGTGGCCAGCGCTGCGCGGAAATTGCCCAGTGTCAGAGCGCCTGCTCATAGAAACTTCTTCCGAGCTTGCACAGCACGCTTGCGCAGAGCGCTTGCACAGCGCAACTTGCACAGAGCACTCGCACACGCAGAGCAACTTGCACTGAACTCTTGGGCGGAGCGCCTGCACGGAGCAACACTTGCACAGAGCTCGCAACACCGAAGCTTATCAGTCGCATAAGGACTCGCATAAACACGTACGGCAAAGCTTTGGCATAGAAATATATTGGCAATATGTGCAGCGACTGTTGAGCTACATCAGTTTTACCTCGCAGCTTAGCGTAGCGTAGCGTTGTGGCTTGGCGGATCTTGCGTTCCGGCTTTGAGGTTTCTGAGGTTTGCAGGTTGGCAACGTAGTGTTTGCTTAGAGTTTCTGCCTCTCGCGCTTGATTTGTGTCCACGCTAGCACGCCCGCACGCACGCAGGCGTGCGAGAGCGTGTGACACACACTCTCACGCACATGGCGGCTTTATTTGTTATGAGCTGCTGTGTCAAGAGTTGGGACGTGCGATGCAAACAGTGCACACACACACACGCAATACCATTTCGTGAGCAACCACTCCGCTGGCATCCCTGCATGTCGGCTTGATTTGCTTGCCTTTCATATTACAGAGATGCTGTTGTGCCAAGCAAGCAAGCAAGCAAGCAAGCAAGCAAGCAAGCAAGCAAGCAAGCAAGCAAGCAAGCAAGCAAGCAAGCAAGCAAGCAAGCAAGCAAGCAAGCAAGCAAGCAAGCAAGCAAGCAAGCAAGCAAGCAAGCAAGCAAGCAAGCAAGCAAGCAAGCAAGCAAGCAAGCAAGCATCACACGCACACGCACACGCACACGCACATGCACACGCACACGCACACACGCACACCCAAAAACACACACCAGCAAGCAAGCAAGCATACAAACATACAGACATACAAACAATCAAACAATCAAGCAATCAAACAAAGAAACAGAAGCCCCCCGTGCAGGCCTGGCCTTCCTCGCCCCGGCAGCGTCCACGCCACTGGCCCGAGCTCCGCAGGGAGTTGCCCCCGCGTCCGGAGCCGCGCCGCGCGGATCGGCCGCGGCCGGTGCCGGGGCCGCGGCCTTTGGCGCGGCCTTTGCTGCCGCGTGCCGCGGAGAGCGCAAGGCCACTGGGACCCAGCTGTTCGATTCCCACCTGTAAGTTATGCAAGGGGACCCTTAGGCATTTGACCTTGCCAGCAGACATCTGGAGCAATATGATGCCATTCTCTACAATGCAAGGCTTTTGTCCAGCCACCCAAAAGGTCAGAAACCCACATGTTCCTCGGAGGGGCCTGCGCAGGTCAGGGCCTTCCGTGTCCTCCGCTTGGCCGCAGACCAAGTACCGCCAGCCCCTGCAAGCAGCTTGGCCTTGTGAGGGCCAAACCTCTAGAACCTCCAGCGGAGGGTTTCCTTTGCTCCCCTTGCCTTTAAAGCCAGCTGCCCAAAAGGATGGCCACCCAAGGTTCCCAAGGTCTGGGTGATGGCTTGAACACAGCAAGGGGGTACCTTTCCCATTCCTTCAAGGGATGCTTCTTTCCCACGTCTCTTCTTTCAGGACAACCTTTAAACGCCAGCGGTGAAAAAGGTTTTCTCTTTGAACAGGACCATGAAGGTAAAGAATGGGGAACCAACTCGCATAGCACAGCCTTCACGGGGATCTTTCATCACCAGGGGTTTTCAGTCCTGCTGAAGGCGGCGGCTGATTTGGAGTTAGCCTTTCAAAGAAATAGCAACACCCTCAACGCAAAAGATAAGGCAAAGGCGCACGGCCGCCCAAGGGCACATTAAGTGATGTTGTGAAAGTCCTGACCCAGCTTTGAGTAGACCTTGTTTCAAAGGATTCTAACAAGCGACAGACCATGTTTAGCGTCCCTTGCTGGAAGCATCCGAGCCGTACACAAGAAGCACGTGGTAGAATCACTGGCCTAGCATCGGCTTGGGTTGAGCACTTGCCGCGCCTGCATGTTCTGCCCTTGAGCCGATCGAGTCTTGGGAACAAACCCTCGTATGTTTGAAAGGGACGGCTGAGCTTAGCCACGAAGGCAGCGTCATCATCAAGCGGGATGCCGACGCAGTGGCGTCGGCAGTTTGCGCTGAGGCAGGCGTTGCTTTTGTCGCCAGAGGTCAGATTGGGATGGTCAAGACATCCGCGATTTTTTTGAACCAATGACGGTTCAAAAAGTCTCCCTTTGGCCCTCCGTTTTGGGGTTCCCGTGCTGGTTTGTGCCCCCCAAACTCCATTCTAGTTCCGTAGCCCCTTTTAGGTCGCCGTTCCGTCTCGATTCAGGTGGTCAAGGCTGCCAAAGAAGCAGTGGCCGCACGCGGCGCCTTTGCGCTGGCGATCCCGGGGGGCTCGATTTTGAAGGCGCGGATGGCAGGGGCGTGTCACCGGGGTTTTTCTAGCTACCATCCTGGGATCTCCTCTACGGTCACAAGCCACAGCAAATAACCCGAGTTTTTCGAGCTTCACGAGGCTCATGACAGCCTCCTTTGGTTCCTTCACACAGTGGCGACGACTGGAAGCACTGGAACAGAGAATTTCGAGAAAACCATCGTTTGCAGAGGAATCATTTTTTGTTTTTTTTTTGGGGGGGTTGAGGTTCCCAGGTAATTCGCGCAGGGGGGCGGGGGGAGGTGGGTCATCCCAGAATCTTGGATGCTTAGAGTTTGGAGGAGGGATTTACGACATGTCGGCCAGAGGCGGACACCGTCAAAGGTTGGTGTTTGTTGAGCTCGCAAATGTCTTTTGGTCCCGGGTTTGCTTGAGGCAAACGTTCAGTAGACGGGCCTCACAAACTCCCCAAAACGAGTCAGTAATTCTTTTCCGGGCCAGTATCGAGCTCGAAATACTGGAAACAAGGCCCGAGAAAAGCTTGAGAAGCCCAGTTGGCAAATTAGAGGCAAGAACGTAGAGCGAAGGCTCAGCCGCACGCAGGCTCACCCTTCAGCAGCAACCGCCCTGATCCGCAAGTTGTCTTTTCGATTTGTGGTGAAACAAGAAACTTACTTGGGCGGAAGTGGCTGATGGATCATACCTCATGCCCAGCCTTGATACGCCCTACTCCAATTTAAGGCGGAGCCAGTTCCGGAGTTCCGGAGGTGCTTGAGCTCACTTGTTTGGATCCTATGGGGCCTCTAACGTCCTTTGGATGTGGGCCAAGTTTATTTGGGCAAAAGCTGTGGAATAGCAAATGTGGGACCTCATCCATGAGAGAGGCTTTTTACTCGAAGATTGCCTCTTTTCAGATGCATGCAGCACAAAAGTCACCCAGATTGTCACCGAGCCTGCCTTCTACATTTTGAGGTTCACTGCAGAAGGGCCGGAATCTAAGCTTGTATGTGACTGTGGGAATTGTTTCGTTTGTTGGCAAAGGCTGAGCCACTGGGACGACTGGGGGCCGGGGGGGAGGGGACGGATTTGGCCCAGATGCTCGCCTCGGGCAGCTCCGAGCTGCAAGGCGGCGGGATTGATTCGACCATGGACTTGACGGCTAGCTGGTTGGATCTTTGACCTTCAGCTTTCTGGGTGAGAACGTGTGCTTCCGTGCGAATCAACTAAGTCGAATCTTGAAGCAAAAGTTCTGCTTTTTGCACAAGGGGCAAACCTTAGTATGTTTTGTTTGGATACATTGGGTTCTATCGGGATTCGGGCCAGGGCACCTTTTGACAATCAAAGGAACGTCCGCGACGAGGCAATCTGTAGGCAAAAGGTGGCTGTCAACAGCGTTAGGCTTTCGTTTATGTTGGCCCTCTCCATTGCCCCCTAACCCAGTGCCTAGCTTGAGGCTCCAAGAGCCATTTCCAAAGCCACATGGTGGTTCCCTTCTTGAGGATACATGTGCTGGTGTGGTGTGAAGAAAGGTAAAGAATGTGGTGTCGGGTTTGAAAGCTCGAAACCTATGGGAGACCCGGAAACCCCATACCCTTGAATTGTAGTCCCTTTATTTTTAGACCCACCCACCCAAATTGACAGTCACTGTGCAGATGTGGAGTGGAGCAAGGGAGCGCCGGCCTAAGAGAAATCCAGCGGAACCTAAAGGGGGGGGGTTCTGGAAGGCTCCACGTGCTGCCTGGCGTCTTTTTAGTCGTTCTCGGCATGGCAATGGCGTGCGACCTTTTGAAAGCAGCGGCAGAGTGAGGGAGAGAGAGAGAGAGAGAGAGAGAGAGAGAGAGAGAGAGAGAGAGAGGGAGAAAAACAAATCGAAAACAAATCGGAGACATGTTTCATGTTAGTTGGTTAGAGGGCAAGTGGGCTTGAGCCGTTAGAGCGCACTCAGGGGGCTTGTGTCAGGGATAAATGAGGCCACAAACCTACGATGGTTGGAAACAAAGTGACCCCTGCAACATGTGCTGACACCTTGAAAGGGCGGACAATTATTGAAATCCCGTGTCTTGTGTTTGTTTGAGAATTTGGTGAGATTGTTTGGCCTGCCATGCCCTGCCATGTTAGAGAACTCAACCCCATCATTCCTCCCGATCCTAACGGTGGCCAAAACGGTTTGTTTGTGCGTGTGTCCCATTAGCTTTGCCATAAATTTCAGACCTGCAGCTGTCTGTTGGCCCCGTTAACGAGCAGCTAACAACATGTCTTTCCAAAGGAGAGTTGCCTCCCAGGACCCCCAAGCAAGTTCCAAGTTGGTGGGAGAATCCAATCTTTGCTCTTTGAACCCCCCCCCTCCACGGAAGAAGTCTCTTGCCATCGGACTTGGGTCGTCTTTGATGATCGAGGTCTTGGCCTACGTGAACCACAAGTGCGTGGCGAACGACGACCCCGCAGCCACGCACCAAAAGGCACATCGCTGGCAATTTGGGTTGTGTTCAAGAGGCTTTCCACTACCCCCGAACCCATCCAGTAGAAAAATGGAGTTAAAACCCTTCATGTAGTGTCAGTGTAGTGGTGGAATGCCTCTGGGGTGCACTAGATGTTTCCCTTGGAGGGAGCAAGGAGAACAGTTTCATGGCCACAAAGGTGGTTTCGTTTCGGGTTCCGCGAAGGGAATCATTCATTTTTTGTGGGAGAAGCCTATGCTTGAATAACATGCCCACTTCGAATTGGGCCGGAAATTCTGCCACATCGCACGGAGTGAGTTGAAGTAAACTTGTTTGTTGAGAAGGGCGCTCACACGTACTTATTTGGGCCTTTCATGTTTACCATTTACCGAGGGCCTGGCTCAATCGTCCTTAAAACGGATCACTTCCCCCGGGCAGAAAGGAGGACTTCACCAAAGGAGGAATGGCTTACTCATGCTGAGGGGGCATTGGTTTCTGATCTCCAGGGCAAGGGCCAGGATGTGGCCTGGTGTATGCTTGCCGGGAATGTGGCCATGCCTAATTGGTTGCAGGCTACGGCAGTTCTGACGGATGCTGTTTTTGATTTAGCGTCGGTTTCGTTTTCCCCGGCCAATTCACGGATTCACGCCCGCCTCCCATTGAGTGGCCCGCCTCGCTCGGAACTCAACATAGTTCCATTGAGGCCACTACTTCCGATTTCTCCGTGGATGTGCTTTGGAGAAGGGGTCCATGCTCATTTTCAGGATGCATAGTCTTGCGTTTTTTTGCAGGTCCTCCACCCAATTGTTCACTCGCACACCCTGTTGAATGACTTTCTCATTTGCCGGGTTGACGTTTTCAAAAAAAAACAGAAAAAAGAAAAAGGAAGAAAAAAGAACGACCTTCAAAATACAGTGGTTCCAAATCTGTCCTGAGCGGGCCGCTGGGCCTGGGTATCCGGGCCTGGGCACCCATTTCTGTCACCTCGCGCTTCGTGCGCCAGGCCAACGAGCTGTTTCTCTCAGGCCGGCGATCTGCAGCTGTCAGATGTGCCAAGAGGGCCATGTCAAGCCAGCAGGAAACAGGAGGGTTGGATTCCGCTGAAAATTGGGAGGTTCCCAAATCTTCCCACAGCATTTGCTGGTCTCATCCCCACTTGCCCCCCAAAAAAAACATGTCCCACTCCTTGTTGGCGGGGCTCCTTCGGGCGGTTTTGCAGGTTGGTCCGGCCTGAAAGTCATCACCATGGGCGGCTCCGCCGACGGCGAAGCTGAAGCCCAGCGCTACGAGGCGGAGCCATCGGCACGCATGGAACGGCGGCTTATGCCTGGGTCCCGGGAAAAAAAAGCGATCGCGTGCTGAGGGGCCCTTGGGGGTGGTTGCACTGCAAGGGTTATCATTTGAGTTGTTGCTCTTTACATGTTCTGAATTGATGACTTTCTGGAGTGGTGTCCCTTAAGCCTCCCTTTGGTTGGTTTTTAAAGGGAAGCCAAGAACCCGACCATTTGGCGGGTTCTATATATTTCTGTCTTGCGGCACACGAAAAAGAATCGAGCGTTCGGATAGGCAGAGCTCCGGGCCCTGCCGGAGACCACGCTGCCGCGCTCCCAAGACGGCATGCCCATCTTCGCCCGGGGCCCGGGGCGAGTACGTGAAATGGGATGTTCAGTTGACCAGTGGATTCCGCCGCTTTTTCCTTCTTTGTGGGGAATGGGTTCCCCTTTAAATTCAACCAACCAAAAAAAGATGCCCTTTTTCCCATGGCCACTGGGCGTCTGAACATGGCCATCGGGTACAGCCACTAAAACCGATGATAGTTTCCACATGGAAACAGCTGCCCAAGATGGAAGCACGTTACCCATGGTCATTAAGGGGCCAAGAAGATTGATCAATCCCCAAATTCGGCGCATTGGAGGCCGATGGATGAGGGGATCGTCGACCCGAAATCCTGGGTTTCAATCGTGTGGGTCGGTTCTGTGCGTGGGTCGAACATCTGGCCCTGTTTTGGAGCCTGGTGCTGGTCTTTCTCTGGTTGCAAAGAGGGTTCCAAGTAGGGCCAGAATGTTGGTTCGCTGAATTTGGACCAGGGTCAAAAAAATACTGTTTGGTTGGAACAACATAGTGTGGATTTCATCCTTGGAAATGGAAACAGGTTCCTCTTGCCCAAAGACGACCTGTCGACCTATTTGTTGCGCAGCAATTAGGGGGCTGAGTTGGTTTGAGGCAGCCTGATTTGGTACCCCATTGCCATGTCCGAACACGCCCTATTGTGGGTGCGACAAAGTGGGTGAATCATCAAGTCATTGCAACGTAAGAGGGGCAAAGGGCAACAATACCGGCTCGATTTTGGGTAGGACCTCGGCCTTTAATGTCAATATTGTTGGGTAAAGTGAGTACGCTTCAAAATGGTGTGGTAATTATTTGCTCTTGCATTTGTCGAATCGGGGGACTCCAAAAATGGTGGTTGTGGGCTTGATTTCCCTCAGTTTTTGAAAACTGTCATACGGCAGACTCACCCCAACAGCAACCCCTCAACCCTGCCTTCATCGTAGCCGAAGCCGCTCCGAACCACTCCGAGACACCATATGGCTCTTGAAATTTGGAAACCCTGAAGATTGCGTGCTTCACCCCGAAACTGGGGGTGGCGGAGTGTTTTTCCCGAAAGCATCGCGAAGGGTTCTTCCGTGCGGAGCCCTTGGACAAGTTACACAGAGCCAAGTTGCACAGAGCCAAGTTACATAGAGCCATAGAGTCAAGTTACATAGAGCCAAGCTACATAGAGCCAAGTTACATAGAGCCAAGTTACATAGAGCCAAGTTACATAGAGCCAAGTTGCATAGAGCCAAGTTACATAGAGCCAAGTTACATAGAGCCAAGTTACATAGAGCCAAGTTACATAGAGCCAAGTTACATAGAGCCAAGTTACATAGAGCCAAGTTACATAGAGCCAAGTTACATAGAGCAAGTTACATAGAGTTACATAGAGCCAAGTTAATAGAGCAAGTTACATAGAGCCAAGTTACATAGAGCCAAGTTACATAGAGCCAAGTTACATAGAGCCAAGTTACATAGAGCCAAGTTACATAGAGCCAAGTTACATAGAGCCAAGTTACATAGAGCCAAGTTACATAGAGCCAAGTTACATAGAGCCAAGTTACATAGAGCCAAGTTACATAGAGCCAAGTTACATAGAGCCAAGTTGCATAGAGCCAAGTGGCACAGAGCCAAGTGACACAGAGCCAGGTGGCACAGAGCCAAGGTTAGGTAGAGCTTGCGTAGAGCTTCGGCGTTAGCAGCTATGTAAGTTAGTTTAGGTTTCTAAGGCGCCGGGGCGGGAGTTTGATCGTCGCTCGGGATTGCGACCCTCTGCGGAGATTCGCGTGGTCGAGGTTCAAAAAACTGAGGACTTTTTACGATTTCTGCGGTGCGCGCGCGACCCTCTGCGGAGATTCGCGTGGTCGAGGTTCAAAAACTGAGGACTTTTTACGATTTCTGCGGTGCGCGCGCGACCCTCTGCGGAGATTCGCGTGGTCGAGGTTCAAAAACTGAGGACTTTTTACGATTTTTAGCATGCGCGCGCGACCCTCTGCGGAGATTCGCGTGGTCGAGGTTCAAAAACTGAGGACTTTTTACGACGATTTCTGCTGCGCCGTGCGCACGACCCTCTGCGGAGATCGTGCGCGTCGAAGCGCTCTCGCTGTGGCGCCGTGCAATTTCTTGCTCGCGAAACGGCCTTTGGAAGTTGTCTCGTGGTTTGCGCGCCTGCTTTCGCAATCCCGCGGTCGCGGGTTCGATTCCCCCCTGGTCCGCGGCAGCTCCGGCTTGAAAATCGCAGCTTTTAAGTACAAACGTAGTACGCGGAGCGTGCTCCTGCAGCTCCGGCTGGAAAATCGCAACTTTTAAGTACAGACGTAGTATGCGGAGCGTGGTCCCGCAGCTCAGGCTGGAAAATCGCAGCTTTTGAGTACAAACGTAGTACGCGGAGCACACCCCCGCAGCTCCGGCTTGAAAATCGCAACTTTTAAGTGGAAACGTAGCACGTGGAGCGTGCTCGGCTCCTGCAGCTCCGGCTGGAAAATCGCAACTTTTAAGTACAAACATAGTACGCAAAGTACATCCCCACAGCTCCGGCAGCACTTGCGCAGAGCAACTTGCGCAGAGTCACTTGCGCAGAGCAACTTGCGCAAAGCAACTTGCACAGAGCAATTGCACAAAGCACTTGCGCAGAGCAACTTGCACAGACCAACTTGCACAGAGCACATGCGCAAAGCGCTTGCACGGAGCAACTGGCGCAGAGCACTTGCGCAGAGCAACTTGCTCAGAGCACTTGCGCAGGGCAACTTGCACGGAGCACATGCGCAAAGCGCTTGCACGGAGCAACTAGCGCAGAGCAACTTGCACAGGCCAACTTGCACAGAGCACATGCGCAAAGCGCTTGCACGGAGCAACTGGCGCAGAGCACTTGCGCAGAGCAACTTGCTCAGAGCACTTGCGCAGAGCAACTTGCACAGAGCACTTGCGTGCAGCAGCTTGCAGAGAGCAACTTGCGCGCAGCAGCCCGGAACAATGCAGCTTGCGCAGAGCACTTTCGTGAGAAATCGCGCGGCGCAGTTCGAGAGGAAACTAGGATGAGATGGAGCTCTCATGTGACCATACACACCGAGGGATGAGCACCTGTGGAAAAATGCTTTCGGGCCAATTGTCCTCTAGTTGTTTCATTGGTTGTCCTTCAAACCAACCCGAAAACGGGTACACAGCCCACCCACCCCACCCCCTCCCGGCATCCGATGCGTCAGCTCACGTCGAGGACTTATGTCTGATTGGCGTCGGGGACGATGGCCACTTCGGGTCCTTATACCCTGGCCGCAAGGCGCGACACGAGAGGCCGAGAGATGAGGTTGGATTCGCCGCCTGGGGTCCAGTGAATGGGGTTGGATTCGCCGCTTCGGGTCTCCTTGCCTGACTAAGAATGAGCAAGAGTGAAATTGGGAGAAAATATGGAGGGCCTGGAGTCATGGAATGGAAGTAGGAGAGGAGAAGTTCGTCTCTTGGAAGTCCGGGGTTGGTTCCGGTTATAGACTTATTAGGGAATATCATTGAGAGGTGAACAAAAGTACTTTGTTGTTGTTGTTGCGGTTGTGGTTGTGGTTGTGGTTGTGGTTGTTGTTGTTGTTGTTGTGGTTGTGGTTGTGGTTGGGGTTGTGGTTGTTGTTGTTGGTTGTTGTTGTTGGTTGTTGTTGTTGGTTGTTGTTGTTGGTTGTTTTTGTTGCGGTTGTGGTTGTGGTTGTGGTTGTCGTTTGTTGTTGTTGCGGTTGTTGTTGTTGTTTGTTGTTGTTGTTGCTGTTGTTGTTGCTGTTGCTGTTGTCGTTGGTGTTGCTTGTTGTTGCTTGTTGTTGCTTGTCGTTGCTTGTTGTTGCTTGTTGTTGCTTGTTGTTGCTTGTTATTGCTTGTCGTTGTTGTTGTCGATGTCTTTGTCGTTGTTGTTGTTGTTGGTTGTTGTTGTTGTTGGTTGTTGTTGTTGTTGGTTGTGGTGGTGTTGTTGGGGGTGTTGGTGTTGGTGTTGGTGTTGGTGTTGGTGTTGGTGTTCGTGTTGTTGTTATTGTTCTTGTTCATGTTGTTGTTATTGTTCGTGTTATTGTTGTTGTTGCTGCTGTTGTTGTTGTTGTCGTTGTCGTTGTCGTTGTCGTTGTCGTTGTTGTTGTTGGTTGTTGGTGGTGGTGGTGGTGCTGGTGGTGGTGGTGGTGGTTGTTGTTGTTGCGGCTGTTGTTGTTGTTGTTGTTGTTGTTGTTGTTGTTGTTGTTGTTGTTGTGTTTGTTGTGTTTGTTGTTTGTTGTTTGTTGTCTGTTGTTTGTTGTTTGTTGTTTGTTGTTTGTTGGTTGTTGGTTGTTGGTTGTTGGTTGTTGGTTGTTGGTTGGTTGTTGTTTGTTGTTTGTTGTTTGTTGTTTGTTGTTTGTTGTTTTGTTGTTTGTTGTTTGTTATTTGTTGTTTGTTGTTTGTTGTTTGTTCCTTGTTGCTTGTTGTTTGTTGTTTGTTGTTTGTTGTTGTTGTTGTTGCTGTTGCTGTTGCTGTTGTCGTTGGTGTTGCTTGTTGTTGCTTGTTGTTGCTTGTCGTTGCTTGTCGTTGCTTGTTGTTGCTTGTTGTTGCTTGTTGTTGCTTGTTATTGCTTGTCGTTGTTGTTGTCGATCTCTTTGTCGTTGTCGTTGTTGTCGTTGTTGTTGTTGGTTGTTGTTGTTGTTGGTGGTGGTGGTGTTGTTGGTGGTGCTGGTGTTGGTGTTGGTGTTGGTGTTGGTGTTCGTGTTGTTGTTATTGTTCTTGTTCATGTTATTGTTCTTGTTCGTGTTATTGTTCTTGTTGCTGCTGTTGTTGTTGTCGTGGTTGTCGTTGTTGTTGTTGCTGTGGTGTTGTTGCTGTTGCTGT